AGCATGTAATGAGTCTGTTTGCTACAATGGAGGGAGATGTTCACACTCCTCCCTGGCCGGCCTGCCTGGCTGCTCTTGGCTCACTCACCTTCCTATTTTTAAATGCATCCCAGCCCTGGGACTAGCCACTGGATGGGACTGTGATAGTGGCTTCCCTAACAGGACCAAAGAGCAGCCAGGCAGCCTAATGCAGAAAGAATTTTTCCCTCCAGCGTTCCACTGTGGTCAAGACTTACTTCTTTTCATCTTCTCTTGAAAATTCCACCCAGCCAGGGGATTCCCAGGTTTTAAAAATGGTATATTTTGGGGTTTTTTTCCCTCCAAGAAGCTTCATGGATAAAAAGTACAAATAAATCCAGGAAGAGCAGAGATGAATTTGTAGCCCATTTCTTATGTCCCTCCCACTCCTGCCCCAGATTGTTGGTTTCTCTCATTCTCCTATGGGCCCCTACAAATGTCAGTGCTTCTCCCTGGAATAACTTTCCTCTTCTCTCTGTCCTTGCTCCCATTTGAAATGCTCAGCACATGCCTCCTCCTTCAGGAAGACTTCAGGGCTAAGTTTCCAACTCTGAATTCTCCACAGCACCTCTGCTTCCCTGTGTCACAGCCAACGTCATACTAGGTGGTAAATACTTGCTTAGCTCCTTCCCCACATAACCATGTAAATCTTGAGACAGTTAGTCCTCTAACAAGATTCTCTGTGTGCAACAGAGGAGCAGGGGCAAAAGAGATGTGCAGTGAATGTGAAATATTCTCATATGTACCATCTTACCACAGCTCTGTGAAGTGGCTGTCTGTACTCCCATTTTACACATGAGAAAATGGTAAGGCTCCAGGAGGATAAGGAATTGGCTCAGAGTCTCAGAGTTATGGGACCCAAGAGGACACTCAGTCCAACCAGCCTCTGTGTATAAGTGAAAAAGCTGCAGCTCCAAGAGGGCAGGGATTTGCCTGAAGTCACAGAGCAGTAGGATTGTCTGGAACTGGAGTTCATAAGAACATTTGGTCTCATCATAGAATAGGTATGGAATGAACATCTTTGGAGTATCTGCTGGGCTGTGAGTTTCCCTTCTCCCAGAGCTGCCCACACACCATACACTCGGAAATGACTCCCAGGGGTGTAGCCTGACAGCCACATGTGATCCTATCCCCCTACCCCTAGCTGACTGAGTTGGGGTTGGACCTTTGGCTTAACTTGGCCAATCACCTTCTCTCTTAGGAATCTGGAGGCTCTTTTTATATGGCTGGACTGTCAGGTGCAGTGGGGTGTCATCTGTCTCCCCATGTGATCTGGGGGCAGAGAAGGCCAGTCTGGGAGGAGACAAGAACACAGAGATAGGGAGAGACCCACACACACATATCCCTGGCTTCCCGAGGGCTTTTCTGAGTCTGGTTTCCTTTAGACTCCCAGTTTCCTTATGATCATGTCCCTGTTCTGTGTTTAAACTGGCTGTGGTGAAACACTGCACTGTAATACCATACATGGCACACAGGCAGGCATGGTACTGGAGCCATTTTAGTGATCAGACGAGGAGGCTAGTGCAGGCCTGAGTGGCCAGGAAGACTTCTTTGGAGCAAGTGGGACTCTCTGTCCTGGGAAGAAGAAGTAGATGAGATCAGGGAGGAAGACATGGGAGAGCTTTTCAGGGGACACTGAGGCAACACAGGGAGCCCTACTTGAAGGAACTGAACAAATGGCCAAGCAGGGAGGTGTCACAGGAAACAAAGACAGAGGTCTTCTAGTCTCCAGGAGCTCATCCGAAGCCCTCCAGGGTACAGAGGAGAGGCACTAAGTCCTGGGAGGGTATCTCAGGGATGGTAACAAACCAAATGATTACAAGGAAGGCAAATTTGAACCCACCCTGTGCTCTACCCCTGTACCAGGCAGTTCACCATTCTCACCCTGCCCTGCACTATCCCACCCTGTGCCTCTATCTGCACAGGAGCCTTCCATCCCTTCTCAGCCCAGCTCTGAGGCTGCCTTATCCCAAACAACTTTTCTGTTGGACTCCACTCCAAAGCGAATCCAGGTTCTCTTTCTGTGGATTCCTGCGTGGACTCACTACCATATAGTTCACCTGCAATTATCTGCACAAGGGCCTGTTTGCTGTGCTGGAATGTGGGCCCTGAGGCCAGGACTCAGGTCTGGTTCATGTGCCTCCCTGTTGCCCTCTGCTGGGGCTGGCCCTTTGTAGGTAAAAGTGCGCTGAATGTCTGAGAGGATGCTCCCCTCACACTAATCGTGGGAAGAAATGTGTTCGATGCTTCTTTGTCTACCTCCCACCCTCATCAATCAACAGAGAAGGAATTAGTCCATCTTGCCTAGAGGACAAAGGGATTGGGCGCTGTGCGTGGCTCTCCAAGTGTGTGGCACGTGTGTGTGTGTGCACATGCGTGAGCACGTGCACGTGCAGGGGGCTTCCCCAGAGCCACACCACAGGGCACCACACGGCCTTGCTGTGGTGACCACTCCTTGCCCTAACCATGCATTCCAGTGTCATGGTTCTATGGGCCAAGAGGCAATAAGCCTAGAGGCTGAGGGGAGATTTGGTCAACAGCTTCAAAGTGAACCATTCTGGGGCACAGCAGCGCTCATTTTCTTGTCAGCTGACACACGGTCAATTGTTGAGCACTGTGAACCTACAGTTCTACATTCGGGATGAATAGATGCTTCCCTTCCTCATACTGTTCCCCATGCTCACACAGGGCCAGGGGAAGGGAGTCTGGATGGTAAAAAGCTTGACAAAGAAGAAAGGAGCAGGGAAAGAGCTGCCCCTTAAGGAGGACCTACAAGTTCCAGCTCTGACAAGTATTTCACATGCTGCTCCCGACAGCCTTAGGCGTTAGCCTTCCCTTCCTCATCACACAGATATGGTAGCAAGTGCTCCAGTCTTGAGGTGGTTTGCCCCAGGGTACATGGCTTGGGAATGCCAGAGTAGGAACCAATTCCTGGTTTGCAGGTGCCTGCCTTTTGCATGGATTCCCATTGCCTTTAAGGGTCTGGCGGGGGTCGGGGGACAACTCTCCAGCACTTTATTTTTAAAATCACAGCCTCATAGCTCCAAACCCTCGTCACCCTAAACTCTTATACTCGTACAAATGGCTCCCTATGGCAGTTCACATGGGCATCCCCAGCCAGAGTCAGACCTCTCATCACACCTGCCACCTGCTCAGCATTTAACACAGACACAGTTGCTTAGGGCTATGGATGTCTAAGATCTGCATCTGCCATTGGACTCAGTTCCATGAGGGTGGGGCTTTATCTTTTTCAATGCTTCATTCCAGTTGATGCCCCATTGCCGGTACAGCCACTGTTTCCTTGCAGGTATGCTCCCTAGGTCCCCTAAGGAAGGTGGACCAGATGCACCATGAATGCCCAGTGCCCCCAGAAAGTCAGGAGGGGTGACTGTTGGAGAAGACACCAATCTCCAGGCCCACTTTGCAACCTCTGAGCTAAAGGATGGGAGGAAAGGTCAGGGGACACATAAGCTGTCCCTAGCTATGGAAACAAATATCTTCTCAGCATCCACTATGTGACAGGCACTGTCCTAGATGTGTGAGATACAACAAAGGAAAAAACTGTTGGGATGCAACAAAGACAAAAATCCCTGTCCCCTGGTGTTTACCTCCTAGTAGAGAGAGACAGACATTAAGCAAATCATATAGTGTGCTGTGTCTTGGAAAGTCACAAGCACTATGGACAGAAATAAAGTAGGGGAGGACAACAGAGGGAAGGGGTCCCTATTTTATTTACAGAGGTGAGGAAGGCCCTTGAAGGTGATCCACAAGGGAGCTATGTGGATAGGCGGATGGAAAAGCATTCCAGGTAGAGAAATGGTTAAAATGATGGTGTGGAAGTGGGAGTATCTTAGTCATTTTCCTCATCACTTTGAGCACAGTATCTAACACTCACAATGTAAAGGAGAGGTTTATTTTAGCTCACTTTTAGAAGTTTCAGTCCTGGCATGGTCGGCCAGTTCCAGGGCAGGCCGGCAAGGCAGAGCAGACCTGCTCACAGCAGGGTGTCTGGGAAGCCCAGAGTGAAGGGAGGAGGTGGGGAGGGAGGTAAAGCCTTCCAGGCCACTCCCTCATGAGCCCCTCTTCTGACCAGACCCCAGCTCCTAACATCAAGTCAGCTATAAGCCCCATAATCCAATCATCTATAAGAAGCCCCACTCTGAGCACCTGAGGCTTTAGGGGAAAGTCTAGATCTAAACCAAAACAGGGGAGAGGTGAACAACAAGGCCAGTGTGGCCGGAGCAGAGGGAGCAGCAGTCACAAGAGCAGAGCAGGGTGCTGAGGACTCCCCTTGTTCTGATTTGGGAAGCCACTGGAGAGCGCAGAAGCAATGTGATCTGATTTAGATCCTAAAAGGATCACTCTGCCCTACTGTGTTAAGAATTGAAAGTCCTAAAGTGAAAGAAGTTAGCTAACTTGGTGAATACTGTAAAGTGAAACAGTAAAATTGCTAATCAAGGTCCCTGTGCAAAAAACAAACAAAATCTGCTTAAATATACACTAACAAAACCTAGCTCTTACAAAAAAAAAAAAGAATTGAGTCTCAAACCAGGCCTGGTAGTGCAGATCTGTAATCCTAGCACCAAGCAGGCTGAGGCAGAAAGATCTCAAATTCAAGGTCAGCCTGGACTACATAACAAGACCCTGTCTCAAAAACAAAGAAAACCAGGCATGGTTGTGCACACTGGTAATCTCAATACTGGGGAGACTGAGGCAGGAAGATCCCAGTTTGAGGCCAGCCTGGGCTGCCTAGTAGATTCAATGCCAGCCTGAACTACATCTTAAAACCCTATCTCAAAAAACCAAACACACGCACGCGCACACACATGCATGCACGCACAGACACACACACACACACACACACACACACACACAGCACAACAAACAAAAAAGAAAAGTCTCCTGGTTGAGGCCTCTGGTCCTGAACAAGAGGAGTCAGTGTGCAGGGAGAAGCAAACATAGAGGAAAGTCCTGACCTAGATGCCAGTGGTTCCAAGTCCAGTTCTCAGGTAGCACAAAGAAACCGATTTCTTCGGAGAGAGTATGAACCTTGCTGCTGTCATTCAACTCCCTGTGAGCTGCGTCCTTCCATGGCTGGCGTCAGCCTGTGTCCCCTGCCCTCTTCTCCTGTCCTGTGGGTCAGAGGTTGGTGTCCTCTCCCACAGGCCCTCCTTCTGACCTTCAGAAAGGCCAGGCCTCCTTGGTGCCCTTGGCCTACATTCCTTAGGCACTACCAGTGACAGAGGTGAGCAGGAAGCCGGGCCTCAGGAAACACTGGCTGCCCAACGCTTGGAATGATATGGCTGTGCAGGGAGGCAGTCACTCTGCGAATGGTCTTGTTGGGTTCCAGGTAGCCAAGGACAAGGCAACCCAGGAATTCCTTGTCTTCATTTTTTTGCCTCTAAGTTCTTCCCAGAAACCAGGCGTGTCAGTCTCTTCAACTCCAGGGTTTTATGAGGCAATTATGGTGGGACCATAAATCTCCTGTGTGTTGTTTTCAAAGGGGCAATTAAGTAGAGGAAGGAGGCACCATTTTCATTGCTCATTAAGTGATTAGGGCTTGTTTGCCAGATCCCAGTATCAGTGGCTAGAGGTGGTGCTGAGTCTGACTTGGGCACCACACAGCCTCCACAACTTGCTGGCCAGCACCCAGCACTTCCTTTCTGCTCCGGCTGCTCTGTGCCAAGGAGCCAGAAGAAAACCTTTCCTTCCACAGATGCACAGGTCACACCGAGGCGCAGGGTAGAAGTGATTCGCCTGTGTGACGCTGCCTTTCAGAGTGGGTTCTGGCCACCATCCATGCTTTGTGTCTACAGAAGTAGCGCTTGGCTCCCTCGCCGCAGGGCCTGGTTATATCATTGAATCCATCTTTGGGAAATACGGTCTGCTGTGTCTACACCCTTAGGACAATGATGTGGTGATCCTTCTTGTCTATCAGCTGCTGTACCACCTCTGGACTTCTTGGTACATAAACAAATAATGTCCTAGAAAGGCAAGCTATGGTGAGTTGGTTTTCTATGAAAGTTTGGAGGAGGGAGCAAACATAATCAGAGGAGCAAGACTTAAACTGGGCATCTTGAGACTGTTTCACCTGCTCAGACTTTGGCATCAAGCACTCCTTGGCTTGCATTCTGTTTCTGCAATTACTACTCCTTGTGTGATTCTCGACAAGTTAGCCTTGCCAAGCGTCAGTGTCCTTCTGTGCAAGTAGGAATAATACCTACCTGTGATGTCATTTGAGAGGTGATATGGAGTGAGAGTTTAGCAGGAGACCTGAAATAAGAAATGATCTGTAAATGTTAATATATTGTCATTTTAATCAACCTATTAATGAGAAGAAGAGGAAACCACCTTGTGTGTGGCTTTTTGAGGTCACTGCCAGTCACTGAGACAAAGTGTCAATGAAACACCTTGTGGGACCCCAGAAAGAATGGTTGCTATCAAGAAATCAACCAATAACAAATGCTGGCGGGGGTGTGGGGAGAAAGGAACCCTTCTCCATTGCTGGTGGGAGTGCAGACTGGTGCAACCACTGTGGGAGTCAGTATGGAGATACCTCAAGAACTAGGACTAGAGGTCCCATTTGACCCAGCTATTCCCCTGCTGGGTATCTTCTCAAAAGAATTAAAAGAACCATACCACAGTGATATATGTGCACCCATGTTTATAGCAGCACAGTTTGTAATAGCTAAAGCTTGGAAACGCCCCAAGTCCCCATCAACTGGAAACTGGATAAAGAAAATGTGGTGTTTTTTTTTTTTTCATAAAATGGAGTACTACTCAGCCATAAAGAATGAAAAACTAGAGTCATTTATAGCTAAATGGATGCATATAGAGGCCATCCTCTTAAGTGAAATAAATAGGACACACATGTGTAAATAACGAATAGTTTCTCTAGTGTGAGAAACTGATACTGTAAACAAGGATTAGAATGATTAAAATGAATAATTGATAATTTGAAATAGGAAAAAGGTCCAAAGACGAAGGAGTGAGGGGAGGGGAAGGGGAAATGAAAAGAGGGAAAGGAAAAACTATGAGAAAAGAAAAAAAAATGGAAATGAAATCTATGTAAATAGGGAAGGGCGGAGGGGGTGAAGGGAGCACAGGTAATGGGGAAAAAATAAGAACCAAGATACATCATGTACAGGTACAAGCACCCAATGGTAAATGTAAATGAATTGTATCTCTAAAATGTACCAATAAAAGAACTTAAGAAAAAAAAAAAAACACCTTGTGGGGGACAAGGCTGCATCTGTGCATCCCCAGCTCCACCCCAGGGGCACAGGTAGATCCAGGGGACCCACGAGGTAGGCTGTAGAAGGGTCTCTGCCCTGGGAGAAGCTGGGTTACATTACAGCAGGGTGATGGGGAAAGAGGCAGGAGTGAGGCTGTGTTGTGAGGATGGTGAGCGGGTTCTAGTTGGCACCCTGGGAGATTAATTTCGAGGAACAAATATCAAAATCCTTAGGTACCTAGGCTTTCCCCATGAAAGCAGACCTAGGTGGAGGGAGGGGTGGTCAGGCTATCCTCTGCAAGTAGGGGGAAAAGCTCATCCTGTGTGCCTAGAATTGCTCAAGTTTAGCACAGAAAATCTCGTGCGCTGGGAAATCCTAGTCCTGGGCAAACCAGGCCGGTGTGTCAGATTCAGGGGATCTTTTATGTGGAGCCTCCAAAACTCAGAGACCTGTGTTCCGGGTTGTAGAGTCACTCCTAGGATGTGCAGGCTTTAGAGGCTCCTGGGTCTGGGGCAGCAGCTGTCCCTCAGTGATCACAGGCCGCATGTCCAGGCTGGGGACAGGGAAGACAGAGCCGAAGCGCAGTGGCCCCTCTCCTGGCACCCTGGCCTATCCCTGCCCTTTGGCCAAATCAGCCTTAACGTGGTCTATTTTAGGGGCTCACAACATAAAACTGCACTCACGCCTGAGATCTGTCTTCCCCAAGTCACGCCCTAGAACCAAAATCCCACCACTCAGGTGTTAGGACCGTGATCCCAGAAGCTGTCAGCTGGCAGGCGGCCCACCAAAGAGCCTAGGAAGGGAAGGGAGGGATGTGGGGGAGAGGGGACAAGCGTGGGAGCCCTGAGCCACGATCCCAAGTGCGACAGAGGGAGCGAAGAGCCTGGGCTGACAGTCACTGGGGATGATAATCGGACTGCTTCCTTTATCGCTTTTCTCTTGAGAGGCTTCTCAGAAGACTGCTAAGGATAAAAGAGATACAAATTCATCACAGTAGAGATACAGGGAGAGGAAGCCTCACCAGACAAGATCCTGCAGCAAATTGCAGGACAACAGTAAGCAAACGAAGAAGTGGTCCTGACCAGGAGGGCGAGAAGATAGAGAGAAAGGGGTGGTGGCCTGGGGCTCCTGAAAACCTCTCCTCCCCGTGCACAGCACTGTGAGAATTCACATCTGTGCCCCAGAAGGGAGCTATGGCTTCTGAGAAGTCAGCTGTCCCCAGAAGACCTTCCATGTTTGGTCAGGGTGGCACAGGGGGCAGAAGTCCAGGGACTGAGTGGCTGCCCAGCCAATCCACGGAAAGTCTCCAAACTGAGAGCAAGACAATAAAGCTATCTCAGGAAACTGAAATAATGCAAGGAACAGAAAAGAACTTAAAAAAAAGAACACCCTATTAATATCCTCTCAGAGATTTAATGAGGTACTGTATCCATCAAATAAAAACTCGATGGTATGAAGAGAAAAGAAACAGGATGAGAGAGAGCTCTTGAAAACTTAGAAAATATGTTTTTAAGTTTAACAGCATGTTTAAATTTAAGTAAATTTCTCAGACAGTCAAATAGAAAGATAGTGGGTAGAAAATACTTTTTAAAATGAGACTTAAAGAATCAATCTAAGGGTTGGGCATATAGCTCAATGGTAGAGTGTCTAGCATGTGCAGAGCTCTGAGTATAACAAAAAGTTTTTTTCAGCAAAAACAGGTTAAAATGGAGAAGAGGAATTATTTATTTGAAAGTCACATTAAGTAATTTCCCAAGCTGGGCATAGTGGCATACACCTATGATCCTAGCACTCTGGGAGGCTGAGGCAGGAGGATCCAAGTTTCAGCCCAGCCTAGGGAAGACTCTGTCTCAAAAAATAAGAAGGACTGGGGATGTAGCTCAGTGTGAAGTCTCTGGGTTCAATCTCCAGTACTGCAAAAAAAGGAAAAAAATCATTTCCCATTGGGCTAGGGCTGTAGCTGAGTGGTAGAGCAGTAGCCTAACAAGTGCAAGGTCCTCGTTTGATCCCCAGCTCAGGAAGGAAGGAAATAAAGAAGGGAGGAAAAGCCTATAAACAAAGTTCTTGCACTTTGCATATTAAAAGAACTATGTGGAAAAAAAAACCCCAAACAAATGGAAAACACCAGAACAAAAAAATGATCCACACTCAGGTACAGTGTCCTGATATTTTTAACACAGGAGTAATTAAATCTAAGAAATTTCAGGGGCAAGAAAATGAAAATAAGGAAAAATTTCACAAAGAGGGAGAATCAGAATGACATCAGCATTCTCAGCAGCGACACTGCATCTAGAAGACAATGCAGAAATACTTTAAATGCAGACGGCACTTAGTTTTCAGTCTAGAAATCTGGACAGGACAATTCAATTACAGAGAATAATAAAGACCTGTAGAGCCGTGGCAGAAAGTAAACTGTGAAAGCGGCAAGCATGAGTTTCAGAGAAGAACCTGGCCATGGACGGAGTCAGAGTGGGGAAGACAGGGGCCAGCGGTGTGGGCAGCAGCGGATCAGGTGGAGGAGGAGAACAGAGGCTTGCGGGGAAGACCAGGGCAGAGAGGGCCCAGGAGACGAAAATATGAAGGACAGAGGAGGCTGTTAGAAACTTGAGGAAAAGAAAAGTGGTATGAGCAAGGAGATGCAGTCTAGTAACATCAGCTTACAGTAAATGGTGGTAACACAATTACACACAAAAAATTTATTTGTTTCTTAGTTTTAGGATGTATCTATAAACAAAGTAGAGAAGAATTAACTGTGGTTAAAGAAGAGAATTTCAACATTATCAACCTTGACAATGCAAAAGTAAGGGTATCAGGGACAAAAACTAGGGAGAAGATGGGAGAAAAGAAGCAAAAAACGGTACCTTTATTGTTCTCTGACAAAGTCAAAAGTAAAGTCCCCACTGGACACGGTCTTGTGCCTATAATCCTAGTTACTCAGGAGGCTGAGGCAGGAGGATTGCAAGTGTAATTTGCAATGGACAACTTAGCGAGACCTACTCTCAAGATAAAACGTGAAAAGGGTCTAGTGTGTAGCATAGTGGTAGAGGACCTGCCTCGCTACACCAAGGCCCTGGGTTCAACCCCCAGAATGATAGATAAAGTCCTTAGGCTATGAAACAAGGAACAAACTGTTAGTATTATATATTACTTAATATATATAATATATATTAAGTTATATATATATATATTTAGATAAGGTCTTGCTATGTAGTGAGTTCAAGGCCAGCTTGGCCTTGAAGGCACAGCGACCCTCCTGCCTCAGCCTCCCAAGCTCTGGGATTACTGGCACACACCACCACACCCAGCTTTATTTAAAACGTAAAAGGTAACCAAAACAGCAATTATACTTCTATGACTCTACTAGGAAGAGGATCAATGAGCTGTTAACCTAATATATTAAGTTACTAGAGTCTAAGAATAATAAATAAAAATAGTTGTAGTTACTGCTGAGAACACAGAATCAAGAATCAAGATATGGGGCTGGAGATTTAGCTCAGTGGTTCCACCGCCTGCCTTGTGAGCTTGCGAGCGAAAGGACCTGAGTTTGATCCCCGGTACCAAAAAAACGAATCAAGATATGTATTGGAGCATTGCTTATAGTAGCAAAAGACTGGAAACAAGCTAAATTTTTATCAGTAGGGGATTGATTAGATATAGTAAAAATATTTAAGGAGATACTATAAAGCCAGTAAAAAGAATGAGTTAGAGCTATAATGCAGGTAAGACATGATCCCAATATATGTAAAAAGGAAAGTATAAAGAGAGTGAAGTGTGTAATGTGTTACTGTGCAAAAAAACAAGGAAAAAGGAAGCATAATATATATACACACATGTATGTAGAATATGCTTATTTATGCATTGAATATTGTGGGGAAAATATACTGGAAACCTGTGTGTAGGGTTGCTTTTTTTGTGAGGAGCTGGTGGAGAGACAGACTGGGGGTTGGATAGAGACAAAATTTCCACTGCTTGAAATCTTTACCATGTTACTTTTTCTTAATTTACTGTTAAGGAGAGAAGCCTATTATATAAATATATGGAGACACGTCCTAGAAGAAACAGCTGTGTCTTAAGGCTTTCACTCACAGAGGTGGGGGTAGAGGGTGGCTGCTTTTCTAACCACGTGGTGAAACTGTTCAGTTGTCGTGAAAGCTCTCCGTTTTTGGCCCTCTGTAATCAGACAGGGGAGTGGCAGTGAATATATTCTCTGTGCAACCATCAGGTAGGAAAGATAACAATATGATATGTGAAAAAGGAAAGCATAGAGAGAGTGATGTGTTACTGTGCAAAAAGCAAGAGAAGCTGGGTGTGGTGGTGCATATGTGTAATCCCAGCACTCAGGAGGCCAGGCAAGAGGATCACTGTGAGTTCAAGGCCAGCCTGGGTTACATAGTGAGTTTGAGGTCAGTCTGGATTACATAGCGAGACCCTGTCTCGAAAACAAAAAACAACAAAACAAAAAAACACAAGAGAAAGGCAGTTTTACATCCTTGTCGATGGAGACTCTGTGTCCCTTAACCAATAACTTCCCACTCATGAGCACTCACCATTCTACTTTCTGCCTCTATGAGTTTGATGGTTCCTATCAGAGGACTCATACTGATTCTTATGTCTTTTTGTAACAGGTTTATTTTACTTAATACAACATCTTCAGCTTTCATCTGTGTAATAGCTCGGGTCAGAATCAGCCTTTTTTGGGAGAAGGGGGTCATGGGGATTGAATCCAGGACCTCACACACTTGAAGTGCGCTGTTTATCACTGAGCTACATCCCCAGCCACAATCAGCTTCTTAAGGCTGAATCACATTCATATGAAACTATTTTTCAAATTGAGGAGTAGAAAGAGGAGGAGTAAGGGAAGAGAAAAGCATCTGAGAAGACCCTGGGGTGGTGAACGCTGTGTCCTATGCCTGGCGTGTCCATTTCCTAGGGCTGCATGAAAAATTACCATGAAGTTTGCAGTTTAAAACAACACCTGTTTGTTACCTTACAGGGGAGAGGTTGCCTGGGCTTGACTGGGTTCTCTGTCCACAGCATCATAAGACTAGAACCAAGACAGGGGTTGGGCCTAGCTTTTATTTGGAGTCTCTGAGAAAATACTCACCTCCAAGGTCATTTAATTGTTGGCAAAATTCAGTTCTTGCAGGTATAGAATTGAGGTTCCCAGTCTTTGCTGACTGTCAGCTGGGGGCCACTCTCAGCTCCTTGAAGCCTTCCTCCATCTCTGAAGAAAGCTATCACAAGAACTTCCTGTGCCTGAAATCTCTTCTCCCCTACCAGCAAGAGAAAGCCATTTTTAAGGGGCTCATATGACTTCACTGGGCACACAAAGATAACCCACCTTTCCCATACAACAGAGGCACACACTCAGTCCACCTCAGAGGGGAAGGGGCCGCTTGGGGGAGGGTCATTGGGCAGTCAGAGTTCTATGATGCCACCCCAGTGACCCGCACCCTTGGATAACTCCCTCCTCTATGAATATGTCACATTATAAGCCAAAGAGAATGCTGAAGCTGCAGTTAGAGTACTAACCAAAAGTTGTAAGACAGGGAGATTACCCAGGCAGGCCTAGTATTATCACAGGAGCCCTTTAAATGAAGGTGGAAAGTTCTATCAGGCTGGCGACAGAAGTCAGAGGGTCAGAGCCTGAGGAAGATTCTATCTGCCCCTGCAGTCTTGAAAACAGAGGGGACACATGGAAAGGCCACGAGAGGCACCGTAGTCCTACCACACAAAGAAGTGAACTCTGCCAACAGTGGAATGGCCTGAGAGGCAGGTTCTTTCCCACAATCTCCAGGGAAGAGCCAGGCTTGGCCGATGTCTTGATTTCAGGCTGTGATACTGTGGCCTGAGAACCCAGTCAGCTCCACCCAGACTTCTGACCTACAGAGCTGTGAGGTAATAAACAGGTGTTGTTTTAAGTCATACAGCAACAGAAAATGAGTACACTGGCATGCCCATCATTTGTCTGCCCCCAGTCTTGGTTTCTATCAGGAGAGGCACTCTGGAGTTAAGTGGTTAAGCTCTCGGACTGCAGGGTTTTTCATCCATAAGAATTAGGAGCTCCCACGGTAGACGTTTGCTAAGCAGCACCAATCATTCTCGTTCTTATTCATGGTGTGAGTCTCTGCTCAGCTTTCACACCTCGTTCTGGAAGTGTCCTGCTCCTGCCTCTTCTGCCCTTTGCACTTACTTTGCACTTACTCTGCTATTGCAAGCCTCCTGCTGTACTGGCTACAGGCCCTCAGCAGGCCACTAACACCCTGGAGAGCAGATACTCTGCCTTCCCAGAGCCTGCCCCAGCCGCTGGCATGGGGAAGGACTCTAGAATGTGTGTGGAGGGAGAAGTCTGAGCTGCCCTGCAGGGCAAGTACTCAGGGAGAAGTGAGTCCTTGATACTTAGCATAGTTACCTGTGAGGGATACGGAAAGGGATGGACTTCACGCCATCGTGGGTCTTTCTGCCTGCCCACAGCTGGTGTTTTGAAGCTGGCATTTGTACCAGTAAAGCACAGAAAAAAGCCAGAAGGTACATGCTGAAGAGTGAGCATTTGGGCTCCGTTATTTTACCATATCCTGTTGACTCTGGGAGTCCCGCACTGAGAGTTGCTGAAGTGGACTGAAAAGCAGGTGGGACTGTGGCAGCTCCTCCTGGGGAGGAAGCTAGGGTAGGAGTCATGTGACACTGAAGACCTGACCATTTATCCATGAAGCAGATGACAGGAGCAGCAGGGAGCTCTGAAAGATGTGCTCTGTGAGAGGGGAGGGGACTTGTGTGTGTTTCCGTGCCGTGGGACAGGAAGAGATGAGAATGCATACAGTGGCTCCTGGAAGGCTGGGGTTGGAGGCATGGAGGTCTGTGCAGGGTACCAGAACAGGAAGGCGCAGGATTGTGTGCGCAGAAACAACTCACCAGCTGACAGAATCAGGGAAAGGTGGATGCAGGATGGATCCTGGGCCCCCCTTAGTGGACACAATGATAACTACAGCTGACACAACACAGGCAGAGGCAGTCACTTCACTGATGCATACTTCACTTATTCCTAGACTGGGAGAACACCCACTCACCCAGAATAAACACTCATTGTAGTAAAAATGATTTGTGTGAATGAATCTGCATCTGGAGTTGTGTGTCTGTGTGCTTGTGTTGCCCAAATGAGTGTTTACATGTATATGTGTGTATTCATGTGCAGTGTGTGTGTGCTTTTAGAGTCTGTATATTGGTGCTAATAATTGGGCACATGTGTATGAGTTGCACATCCAGGTGTGTACTAGGTGCTAGTATGCAAGCATGCATTTATGTGCACTGGTGCCAAAACATGCATTAGTATGTTTGTGCGTATGCATATCTATTGGTATGATCGCTTGTGTGCTTGTGTCTGAGTGCATGTGTTAATGTAACTTCTTAGGGCTTGACTTTCTTTTCTGTTACACATTGAAATACTTAAGATCCATGATCTTATTGTTTGTTTAAAGTTTGCTCTTGGATGCAGGCCTGTTCCAGAATAACTAGCAGATGCAAAAAGCATCCATTATGTATTTTTGCAATTAGCCGAAAACCCAAAAATTTTTCTTAAATAACAGACACAATTCTGTGGGTTGCTTATTGCTAGGACCCACCGCCTCTCCCCAGCTTGCCCTGGGCCCAGCCCCAACCCAGGCCAAAGCAGGTAGGGTTTGCAAACTGTCCCTAGTGAGATGGAAAAACCATTAAGGGTTTCAGGATAGAACTCAAGGGAGCTGAGAGTGGAGAGGAAGAAGAGAAAAACAGGAGAGCGGCCTCCAAAATCTGAAATGCCTTTGCCTAACTAACCCATCCAGCCTAGCAGTTTCCCAGCTTTTTAGTCTGAGGCCAGCCAAATAATCATAGGATAAAATTCCCATTCTTTTACCTGTTATTAAAGCTTTTTAAATTGCATTTCCCCATCTTATCTTTGCATATTCCCATTTCCCATTTAGTACAAGGATGCTCACACCCTCTAGGTGCCTGGGTCTCTCCACCCCTCGCTGCTGTCTCTTTGCTAGTGCCATTCCTCTTCTCCAGTACAAACCAGCAGCACTCCCACCAACAAACTTACCCGCAGGCACTGAGGAGGGAACCTGAGAGGCTAAAACAGAGACTTAGGGAATTTCTCAGCCCTTGGGTTCTTAGGAGAAGCCACAGGCCCTTGTGATGTCCCTCCACCTTTCTTCCTGATTTTCATGCATAGGAAACTTCTGTGTCCTGGAGTTCATGAGGGCTCAGAGATTGCAGCTGGGATTCTAGGTGGATTTCAGGCTTAGCTAGCTGTGACTTGAATGCCATTGTCTCTGAACCACAGAATGTCAGGCCTGGAAGACTCTGTACCACGAAGGCCCTGCTGGGACATTTCCAGTGATAGAGAACTCATCCTGTCCTTAAGCAGCCCATTTCCCTCTGGGGTGGCTCTGACATAAGAAGGTTGTCTTTACATCGTTCCCACTCCCATCACTCTGTCCTCAGAGCACACTGAACTTATCTCCTTCATCTTCAGAGTTGGAGACAGTAGCCGGAGACTCCTGGGCTCTCCTTACCTTGTGAGACAGTGGCTGATGCTAAGTAAGATAAAGGAAGCCACTAAAGCCAGGTGTTGTGCACACCTGTCATTCCAGCATTTGGGAGGCTGAGGGAGGGAGAATAGCTGCAAGTTGAAGTTGGAGGCCAGCCTGAACTACATAGTGAGACCTTAAAAAGGAAGCCACTGTGACTACTTAGTATTCAGCTCCCTTAGTGGGAGAACTTTTGGGATCTTCCCATGATACTTGTCCTGCTGCAAATCCATGAGCTTCAGAGATGGCAGAATAGACGATGACTTGCGTTAAAGTTATCATCAGTTGCCAATTCATCAAACATTGCAATAGGCACTGTGAATGCAAAGACTTGTGAACAGGAAGACTTGGACTCTTGCTCACAGCACTGCAACACGGTTTTCAGTACCTGCTCCAGGCTCTTTGTTTAGTTTAGTGGCTCTCAAAATAGCAATGTCAGGATCATCTTAAACTTTATTAGAAATTTAAGTTCTTGACCATACCCCAGGTCTATGGGATCAGAAACTCTGAGGGTGGGCTTAGCAATCTGGATTTAATAGCCCTCCCAGTGATTCTGACACACTCTAACACTGGCGAACCACAGGTTTAGATTCACCCAAGGAGCCTTGAAAATTAAATTAGAATTTCTGGGAGTGGGACCTAGGCATTGGTTTTTGTTTTAAAATGGTTTAAAATACATAAATACAATAAGTGCTTAGCACACTAAAGTTTGGTTCCATAGTAACACAGTGGATCTGGAGCACCACAAGAGACTAATTTGCTTTCCAAGTCTTTGGTGGGAATAATGGTGAAGGCAAGCTGATGTTAGAGTAAGACAGGCAGAGAGGACAGTGGGGTTCTAGGCCTACTCCTATTCCCAACCGTCTGGAGGGCTATGAGGAGAACACTTTTCTTCTTCCACTACACAAAAGTTTATTGAGAAACTGGCAAGACATGGTGGCACGTGCCTGTGATCCCAGCACTCTGGGATACTGTGGCAGGAAGATCTCAAGTTTGATTTTAGCCTGGGGAATTTAATGACTCGTGAAGACCCTGTTTCAAAACAAACAAAAATGAGCTAAGTCATTAAGGGAGAGTAAACTGGGGTTGGCTAGGGGGATGGTGGCACATGCCTGGAATCCCAGCACTTGGTAGACTGAAGCAGGAGGATCGCCATGTGTTCCAGGCCAGCCTGGAGTACATAGTGAGATCCTGTCTCAAAATCCAAAGCCAAAACACACACACACACACACACACACACACACACACACACACACACACACCCCTAACCTTTAAAGTCTCTTTCCCAAAGACTCCACTGATCAAGAATCATGCTAAACTATAGAGAAGAAAGCAGCTGAAATGTCTTCCTTTGTTCTTTCCCAGTTCAATATAGTCAGTCAGTGTCAATATACAGTACTGTAATCTTATGGGGTTTCATGTAGAAACCTATATGAAGTGGTTTCAAATCAGCAACATGAACCAGGAATTTTCGAGTCTTCCTAAAGCAGAGATCATCATTGTCCCAAGAGTAATAATGAAATGGAGGTGCAAGAGTAATATTTTATCAACACAGATTGAACACAGATTGGTGGGTGGCTTAGATTTTTACCTTATTGTCTTTCTTTTTCCCTCTGAGGTAGTTGCTGCGTGAATTGTGTAGAAAGCAGAGGGTTTCCAAAACTCATCCCCTTCATCCTCAGTACTTGGTGAGTATTAGCTCCCAATCTTTAGCAAGAGTGAAAATAGAACCTTCACAGCAGACCCTACTGGGATCCAAAGTTCACTGATATAACTACTGCCAAAAATAATTTTTCTTTTTTCTCTCAACAAATTATTGAGTGCCCGGGGAGCAAGGATAACAATACTGATATTTTAAATCTATGGCACTTAAACAATCTAAAGGGGAGATCAACAGTAAGTACACAAAGTCACTTCACATGGAGATATACACTATGTAGGAAATAAATGAGGGTAATTGGCCAGAACCCAAGAAGGGTGGCAGGGTATTAGAGTAACACCCCAATATGAGGGATATTAGAGAACACACTGATTACAGGCAGGGAGCAAGGACACATAGACAGATGGGGGGCCACTCAGAGGCCTGGTTCCAGCTCTAAACCCACAACTAACATAGATTGTGGGAAATTAACATGGACTCTTTGGGCCTCGGTTTAATCATCCATGAAAAAGGAAAATCACTATTCTAGCCTGTGTTAGAACTGTTGAGAAGACAATTTAGATCACAGAGGTAAAACAGTTTGCCAGCATTAAAACCACTACACTGAGGGGCGGAGATTTAGGTCAGTGGTT